GCCGCACTGACAGTCAGTATGTTTGGATCGATGTTTCCCATGCCTCGCGTTGTCTACGCCATGGCTAAGGATGGAGTATTGTTCAGGTGAGGCGGAGCGACGAGGTAGCACTGTCGAGGTGGCATTCACTAGCGCGATGAGACGGAGACTTTGGCCTTTCGTAGATGTTTAAACGCCTAAAAGGAAACACAATCACTATATACGCGTAATATGATATTTTGTACAAATGCTCTAATGTAAGTGATCATAGGAATTCGTTTCCTGTATCGGGTGCGTGTGTGCGCACACACGCACGCGGATATGCACGCACACACGTATGCTGACACCTACACACGCACACACGCGCGCGCGAACGCACGCACGTTTATATGTATATATGTATATGTATATATATATATATATATATGACAAGGCGTATAGTAGTAATGATCTGTCTCCACAATAAGGTGTGAGTGCGTCGTGCTAGCGGCTTATATAGCCGGCTGGTGCAGCAGCAGCAGCGCGTTAGTGCGTCGTAGACAAAAAAAAACGCGCGCGTGGAACACTCGCGCGCTCTCTCGCTCACTAATTATCTTCTGCGCTTTCAGACGGACGCACCAAGTTGAATAAATGTCTCAGCACTTTAGACCTGATCTCGCTCGGCGCGGGCAGCTGTGTCGGCACGGGCATGTTCGTCGTGTCGGGCATGGTCGCACGCGACATCGCCGGCCCTGGGGTCATCATCTCCTTCGTCATAGCAGCGACAGCTTCCATTTTATCAGGTACGGCAACTCTATCAACGTTTTTTTTTATCAGGTACGGCAACACTGCTAAAGTTTTTTATTGGTACGGCAACGCTGCGCACGTTTTTTTATCAGGTACGGCAACGATGTCCCCCCGTTGTTGTTTTTATCTCACGTTTACGTCAAACCCCAGGAGGCTCATTGAAGATTCGAAATCCGAACGCGACTAACGAATGAAATCCGCATTGTCAGTGGTCGGCCCGGAGGAGTGAAAAGTAACGCGTAATCTGATTGGTCACAAAAGCTCTTTAGGTTTCGAATTTCGTATTTAGAATGAGCCTCTGGGGATTTTCCGAACATATCCGATTCCCGGTTCGGTCTAAATCTAGCGGCTGTGTTCTTGCTCTTTCTCTCTTTCCTCATTTGATATACCCCTCTCTCACTTTGTCTCTCCCTCACCAACTCCATGCGCTACTGCAGTTGCTGCTACTGCTGCTGCTGCTGCCGCCGCTGCTGTTGCTACTGCCATTGCTGCTGCTACTGCCATTTCTGCTGCTCCTGCCATTGCTGCTGCTGCAGTTGGATTTTGCTATACTGTATATGCATCGCAAACTAAGGCCGTTAGACTTCAGGGAGTTGTTAGATTTTCTGCTCCGAGTTTGTGACGCATTTCAGCGTCGCGACGTCGACGAATATCTGCTGCGACGCCCGGCGAGATTGTGCAATCCGACGACTGGAGATTGATGCGATCGCGGCGCCCTCGCGCGAGTGAAAATTACAACTCTGCGAGTTTATATTTCTTAAAGATTGTCTAAATTTGAAACGAAATCTTGAGGGAGCAGCAAGTAACTCAGACCATGCGAGAAATTACTGTAGCGCCTTTTCTTTTGCCGAACCGCACAGACTACACGCATGCTACCCAATAGTTAAAGTGCATATTTGTAAGCACTGGAGGCTGCTAACGTATCAAATATTGTGCGGGGGCGTCTACGAGTGTAACATTTTATGAATTTTTAAATGATCTGTAATGATATTATTACCATAGCTGGGTGTCCCTCACACGTTCCTTTCTTAGCAGGCCACGCCAAGGCTCTTCTCGCTTTTAACGGTTGACGACAACTTAATGAATTATCTTCATATTACGTCCGACAGTTGATGTCGAATCCCTGAGAATAAGAGAGAAAAAATTAACACTGTTGTCTTACAGTGAAACACAGCATCATGACTTGTACGAAACTTTATACAGAAATTACTGAGCCTCATGGCGTAGATGCCGTCTAACTGGTTACAGAGTTTTTGCGGGAAAACCTGGCGAGAAAACACGCGCCACACTGCAGCCTAACGCCAGTGCGCATCTGCTCTGCGCCAATTCTTAAAATGCAAAATGCAAAATGAAAACTGAAAAATGTATTTCACTTAACGCGTTATCACGCGAATTGAATACTAAATCGTGCGGATTTTACATTTCATTCGTATGTATGACGCCATCGTTGAGTGTACCTTATTTGGTTAACAATAGAGCAGCTATATAAGCGCTCGTGTATTTACGGAAATCACGCGAGTGCAGCAAGCGTTCGCGACAAGCAACGCGTCTCGTTTATTACTCGATGCTTCTTCAAGCGAAAGCGCGTATTTCATTTCTCTTTCTCTCTCTCTCTCTCTCTCTCTCTCTCTCTCTCTCTCTCTCTCCCTCTCTCTCTCTCTTTCTTTCTCTCTCTCGCTCTATCACTAACGGATTTTCTTTTTG